AGAAGGAGGTCCTGATTGGACCCTTGTTCATCTTCCCACTGCATGTGAATCACAAACATAAGTGTGCAGAACCTCCTTTTAAAGGAATTACAACAAAGAAATAATTAAGATCATCTGACTCACATACAATAGAGGGAAAGGAGGCTCTTAGAAACCAACCAGAGTTAACTGATCTTAGTCTTGCTTAAACCTGAAAACCCCTCTTCAATTAATCTGCAAAGACACAAGGCTTCATCTGAAATACTAAAACATTTTTTTTTAAAGAAGACTACATGTGGAGAAAAATTGAACGGCTTAATGTAGAGAGGTCTAGAGATCAGCTTGTTTTTTTAACCCACAGTAAACACACCACACCCAAATAGCATTGGAACAAAACAAAAAAAAAATCAAAGCCAAAAAATGATAAAAGATTCAAAAGCCTTTCATCAAAAATAAAAACAAAACTATAAAACATATAGGTATCCAATCTATAGAAGCAAATCATGTTTTTAATGATAGGCAGGCATAGCCAACAATTTTTAACAAAAATACTTCAAAAAAAGCCAAATTGATCTAACTTTTGAATTCAGGAAAAATTTAGGAAGCCGACCTGCAGTGTCCATAAAAAAAGTTCCTCTAAACCAGAGAAACCCTGATTTTTACTCCAGCACTTTTTTGTGGGACCTTATTAAAAAAATGCTTTATATTTCAAAAAAGTAAAGAATAAACCACTGCCAATTTTGAAATTAGCAATGATTTTTATTATTGCTGTACAATTAAGCAACCGTTGTCTTCTTCTAATGTGAATTTTGGCTCAGAATTTGAAATTAAACAAGACAGAAGGATATTCAGGAGAGCATCACTGCACCGTACATACCAGACCACAAGAAGCTAGAGTGAATTACTGGATGCCTGATAGTAGACCTCAACCTTCAGGTCTGTTGCAACAACAGTGTAAATTTACAAAAAAAGGGAACAACCACATTTAAAGTGATGCAGCAACAGAGAGGAAGAACAATTATTTCCTTTTGTTGGCTGCTACACTTGTTAAATTACAGTCTTTTTTATACTTAAACTGTTGATTCTAATCATAAAGATCACAAGACTTTGAAAAAAATACAGAACAAACAGCTTCACATTATTGAAATGATTCATTTTACAACTCTTGACCAACCTATGTAATCCCCTCTAATCAGCTGATCAGGTTTACAATGCTATTTTCTGCAGATATTTAATACTGACTATGATTAATGACTAATGATTCTCATGGGTGGAGAGGTTTAAGTTTATTTGAATATCTAAATGATGCAGAAATATTAAAAGGAGGAAAAATCTTGCAGGAAAAAATCTCTCAGCCCTCCTTGCTTGAACCCAAAACAATTGTTTTCAACAGGAGAGCTTTCCTTAAACAGACCCTGTACTGACATTTACACAAGGTAGCAGTCAAACAGGTGTGACTACTTCCTCCGACTCTTAACTTTTCATTTTATTGCAATAGCTGTTTATTTTCTACTTTTTAGCCCGTGTCAATCATATTTCCGTATTTAAATATAAACATTGAACACATCACGTTTATGTTTTGGCTTAAAGTAATACTTCTGACATTTATATTAGACTTCCGTATTAATTGTTTTTTTTCAGTTGACACTTTAAAAAAAGAGTCGCAGTTTAAAATCCTTAAAGTCTTTCTGTTGTTACTTTAACGTGAATAAATAAACATTACCTAACATATGTTCTCCTACGACGCGATTCAACCTGAGAGCAAACTTTTTTAGCTAGTTTGAGAAATTTAAAGTTACAACAAGCAGCTTAAAAAGTCTAATAACAATACTAAAAGAGCGGGTTAAATGTGATAAATGGTTTACCTTTCTCTTCGCCCTCCATTGCGCGACTGACAGATGTTTTGCTCGTTTTTTAAGTCCAGGGTGTGCAGGTTGTCAGTTTGACTACGGAAGGTCTTCCTGTTCTGTCCTCGTGTTGCCAGGCTGCCCGCCGTACGGGGTGGGGTTGGATGGTGACGTCAGCACGCAGGAGTGTAAACAAATCAACGCACGTGGGTTTGGTTTTTAGACTGTCAACTGCGCAACAAGTGTGTGTGAAATCAGTTTTTGAGCAACTTTTGCGTTGTATTTCATAAACGTACTTAAAATATACATATTAAGTATATATCAAACAATTTAAGCATCAAATATTACATTTTGCATGGTTAAGATCTTAAAAAAAAAAGTACATTTGTTCAAAGAGTAGATTTATTTTTGGAAAAAATTTGCTGTGAATTTTCTGGTACCTACAGTTTTTTACAGGGATTTTATTTTTGAGTGTTCTTTTTTTCTACTTTGCATAGAATAATTACACAAAGCTATCAGGGAACTGTGTTCCTTTGCCAGTCATCTTCTGAAGTTTCACAATGCTTACCAGGAACTTATTGGTAATAGGCTGTTTGAGGAAAGGTGTATTGGCACTGAAATGGTTCATTCAGGACACTTTCGTGAAATTTTATTTTCTAGGAATTTGGTGCTTACTAAGATTATAATATAGAGCTATTTATCCTCACTGTTAACAGATGACATCATCCTCAAAATAATATAATTAAAAATTATTATTGTATCCAGAAACTAAGTTAATTCCTTTCTTGTTCACATAATGTGCCTTAAAATAAAAACAACAGATGAGCCATAAGCAGAACCATTATCAAGCATTACACCTGAAGGCGTATACATTGGAAGAGAAAGGCTAATGTCAAATAGCACCCCCTCCTGGACATTTTGATCTGTCAAGAATTCCTTACTTTATGCTCACAGAATATTCTCAAAACTAATTGTACAATTACTCTGATTAGATAAATTTATTTTATCGTTACTTTCATCTTTGTGTAAAAAGTTAGAAGTCAAATTGTTCTCATTCCATTTGATTTAAAGTCAAAGTTATGTTGTAAAGTACATAAATCATTATTCATCATACATGAAAAGCAATAAGACAAATATTTATTTAGGTATTATACTTTAGACAAAGCAGATTGGTCATGATTAGACAATTTTTTTTCCAAAGTGAGGACTGGAACAGAAACATAGACATATTACAGCAACTGAAGATGTGTGGGTTGGTACTAGGCTTTACTGTAAGTGACCTAAACTCCCTGTGTGTGTTTGTGTGAATCAGTAAGTTTTAAATGTTAAAAAGCTTCAAAATGGCTTTAGTTCCATTAGTATTTTCACTAATGATCTTGGAAAATCCCATTAAGATTTAGATTCTTTTCCAGTACGACCAGAATGGATTCCATCATATCAAGACTCCTATCATGAAATCTGAGAAAACATCTTTTTAACAGTATCTATTAAATGCAGGTGTACCAGATATTTAGAAAGTGCATTTACGTTTTAAATACATCATATATATATATATATATATATATATATATATATATATATATATATATATATATATGTATATATATATATATATCGTTATCCTTCATTAATATTTTATTATATATTTTTACCAAATTGCTGAATTTGTTAACCATATGAAGGTGTATATAGTCCCTAATTATATATTATCTGCATAGATGATTTGCATATGTTTTATTTTTAGGTGGAGGCTTAAAAAGGCACACTGACTTTTCTCATTTCTCGTTTAACTTATTTTTTTTGGGTATTCCATGTATTCTTTTGTCCAAAATAAACTAAACTATCCTTTATGATAATACCATTGATATAGCATTATAATTGTATTGTTATCATTATTATCATTATATCTAAACATTATTTTAAATACAGGGACATAATCCTTCTTTTGTTAATAATTAGTAGAAGTCATTAAATATAGCAATAAATAGATCAAATTTCTATTATATGTTTGTTAAACTGAACTTAAATCTCTTTGGACTTTGATCAGCAATATATGTTTATCAATATATTTCACTATAATAAAATTTTGGGCTGAAAGTCGGTCAACTTTTTTCATGTTTGGATTGATTAGTGTCATTAACTGTAAAAAAATAATAATAATAATAATAATTTAAATCATAATCACCCCATCATAATAATATATATATATCCAATGATGATTATCCCATGGAGATTACATTAATTAAAAATGCAAATGTAAACATTTTCATTGATATTATTTACAGTTCTACAGTAATGTATTGCTTTGGAAATCATATGACCACTGTGGTCACAATGCTTTAAACATGGGCTAAAGAGGGGCGCACTTGTTGGCATTTATAGGAGCGAAAACAAGTAAATAAAAAAAAAAAAAGAGAGAAGCACGCGGAAAATGGGTGCAGCCTTAAAATACAAAGGACCCCTTGCAGATCAGCAGCACCCCCATCTCTCTTTAAAGCCGTCCCCCTTCCTCCTCAGCCCCCCCCGCACTGGTCGAGGTGCATTGTGGGGAGGAAGTCGTTGCCATTCGACCTCTGCGGGGCCTGCGCGGACGCAGCTAGAACCCTGAAATTCATTATGCGTTTAAAACCTTTATTTATTTCCGCATAACCTACATACTCTCACCGGGAGAGCCAGGCGGAGAAAACAAACGACGGCGGGGCCATCTCTTTCGGGGAAAGACATCGCTTTTAAATACACTGTTTATTCGTTGTAGGGTAGGAACTGTAAAAAAAAAAGTGAAGATAGTAATATATTTAAAGAAGGAAAAAAAATGTCCGGTGAGAGGAATCGCAGGTCTTTAGCTTTCCGAGGAGGTGGATCAGCTGGGTTAACGGGTTCCAGCGGCATCGGTGGGGGGAACTGTAACAGCTGGGAGGCCCCGGCCTGTCAAGACCGACATTTTAACGGGAATAGGCTGGATCAAGAGGAGGACAGGGATCTGGGGACGAAGGGACCGTCGCAGAAGAGAGTGGAGGGGTCTGTGAGCGACAGCACGGAGCCCGAAGCTGAGGAGGAAGAGGACCCGGAAGGGGGCAGCTTGGCAGCCGGGGACGATCGTGACGGGGACAACGGGTTTAGGGAGGGGAATAGCTTGACAGCCGGGAACGGTCCCACCAACAACCCCGAAGAAGGACAAGAGTCTCGGAGCGTTGCGAGGGGAGCCGAGACCGCTTCCAGGAAATCTGGGGTAGAGATGAGACCACAGACGCTGCTTCAGAAACACTCAATGTTCAACGCTTCGTGGTTGCAAGATTTCCCATGGCTCAAATTCTGCCAAGAGACCGGACTCATGTCTTGTTCTTGGTGCCACAACATTGCCACTAAAAACAGCGACGAGCTCGTCAAAGGGACCCGAAACTACAAGCGGGCCTTGCTGCTGAGACATCACCTGTCTTCCGAGCACGGGAGAAATGACCCCACCAAACAGGTAACATTAGCTGCCTCCGCTTCCGTTTACCTACCGAACATGAAATACCTGTCAGACAACTGTCAAACTCTGTATTCGGTATCAATTTGATCGATACAGTTTGTAAAGTAAAAACCTAACGCGAAAATAGGCTTTTACATAAGCTTCCCAATCCCTTCCCTTGCTAATTGTTTAGCTTTTTTAGCTTAGCTTTCAGCTAGCTTAGCTTTCTAGCCGCCTAGGCGTTACTGTGTAGCTAAAGGTAGATGGTCATTAACGGTGGCGAGGTGCTCCAACGACAGAAAATCACTTGTAAATGGTTTAAAATATATATATTACTGTTTAAAATGCAACTTCTTCGTTTAAAATGTAAGAAAAGTTGCACCTGCTCTTGTTTTCCACCTGCTACACCACAGGTTGAAGGCATCGCAGTATATGTAGTGATAATAAAAAATAATAATGTGATAATTGTGTCTTATAGAATTAAGTATTGTTTTATTGGCATTTTTCTTGAATGCTGGTTTGCTTAGAGGTCAAGCAATGGCAAGAGCTCGACCCTGACAGCCTTTGGGGAGCCGCACCCCTCACCCAGCCCCTCCGCCCCTTATGCTAACTCCCCTGCCTTGCAGTCACTGGTGACCTTTGCTGCATTTCTTCCTCCTCCAGCCTCCTCCTACTTCTCCCTTTAGGGAGCTAAATTAGAGGCATTGTGCGAGAATGACCCCCCAAAATCCATAGATGGTGTCACTTGCAAGGCTGAACAAGAGGAGGGGAGTAAATCATACTGGCCAGAGCCTGACAGCTTGCTTTACCCAGAGGCCACTTTACAATAGGGAGGAATCAGTGAAATAGATGTTAGTAATCTAGTAGCACAGCATCACCAGTCATCTGCTATACTACTGCATTTTCTTTCCTCTCTATACAAGTGATGATGGCATAAAATATGCACTGGTTAAATTCTTTTTTCAAGCTACCAAATACCATTTTTTAAAGACTTAAAGTACAACAAGTTTATATAAACAAACACATTTTCATAGACAAATGTCAAAGTGCCTCGCAACAGTTTGAACTTCTGCTGTAGATAAAAAAAACAATAACAAACATTTAGGATCAATCAAGGGGAAATTTTCATGCTGATTGGTGCATCATTAGTAAACATGTAATAACAGCATCAATTGACCCAGATCTTTAATTTTTATTCTTTAACATTTAAATCTATGCTAGAGACTTGAATTTTCCATTTGGTTGGTCAAATAAATATTAGTTAAGCAAAGTAGTAATGAGTCTGGGTCATTTTGTTTTGTTAGTTGGAGCCCAAACTTCATAACAAGGGTTGCATATTTAATATTTTTAATTTTATTTTTTTGCTTTGAATTTTCACAAATTCTAGACATAGCTATAAAAGTAGCTAGAATGTGATGTAAAAGTCGTCTTTTGTCTAAAAACTGTTTTACATGTTGTTTTAGTTTGCTTCTCAGCCCAGTTTAAGAAATGAGGATGGACCCATGTTAAGCCATAATATTTCCCCACAATGTACTATGAATGGAAAAAAAGACCCACATCTTAAAAGTCCCATGTACAGGTAAACATGATCAGTACTGAACACCAACCAGCTTACATAGAAGATATGCTCATCTTTTGAGGGTAATCCTCCTGATGTGTTAGCTATATGCTAACTGACTTTGAGATTTCTTCCTTTTTATGTCAGGCTATAAAGATTAGTTAGTCACCCTAAGATTGAAAGAAGGAGACATTTATTGTCAGTATCCTCATACTAAATGCAGCTAACTGGAAAAAAAAAAAGCTGAGCCTCTTTTATAGTTTAAGTATTTAATTGCTGATATGCATGAGGTCTCTTTATTGGTTTCTTAATTTTATTATAGCAGAGGCAGCACACCGACAGTCAATTTTCTTCGACCTCTTATAAGCAAGCTCTTTGCTGCTCTGTTTGAAACGTTGATTCACCTATCAGTGCCCATATTTACTGTTCCTTCAACATGATCATGTAGTGCCTCATGCTCTGACAATGGCCTGAGCTGTCAGGAGAATTAAGATCAGGGTCTTATTTGACTCTAATTTGTGAGCAGAGAGGATTTCACTACTACATTTAGTTCCCTTCCTTTGTACACGCAGTCCCTAATCAGAATTACTTAAAGTCATCCGCTAACTTGTACACATCCCTAATTGGTAAGGAGAGCAGTAAGAGTGGATTAGGGGCTTGGTGTGGCTTTTCCCTAGCAACAGGGACCCCAGACACAACTACAGAATCTCCTGAACAACTAAGTCCTGGTTCTGCATTTAATTTGTGTAATTCAACTCTTATTGCCTTGAAGTTATTAACGATCTATTACTAATTTGCGTTGTATTTATTTGTTTTTGAGTATGATAAGTTGGACAGCATTGTGGAGCAGCATATTAAAGGCGAATTATAGCGTTATGAGACCACGTCTTGTTCTCTTCACTCATTCCTGATGTTAGTCAGGCCTCGGCTGCATTTGTTAAAGCTAACTCGATTAGCCTCGGTGCACCCAGGCAGCTGTAGTAAATGTGGGTATCTTTGGGGGGAAAAAAGGGACTGTTGTTCTTAATTCTTCCTATGCTGCTACTGTTTTGAAAGGTTAAGCAAGGGCAAAAGTAGACCCCTTGCTTTTCTGAAATCAAATATAATTTGAATATTTTTACCTAAATATTTAGAAAGCCATCATTGGTTTGATGTGTTATTGTTTGCTATTGTTTCCTCTAAAGAGTAATAAAGTGTGTACAAAGTTGCATAGAGCCCTGTGTTATTAAGGCCTGTTACTTTAATTCAATAACCCAACCTGTTCTTTAACCATGTTTCTGTTAGCCTCTCTAATCATCCCAACCCTTTTTTAAAGCAATTTTATGCATTTCATTTTGTTTTGTTCTAACACACGGCTCATAAGATATGCTCTGTGCAGATTAGATTAAAAACTGTTTTTATATTTTAACAAACCTCACTTTTTTTTGCTGGTCTTGATGTTAGTGAGATAAGATCACTGCAGTTAATTCTCAGAAAGGAAATTCAGATATTTTCGGAATTGTTAAGTCATATTCACACACCCTAAATTTGGTTATGACAAACACTTACTCATAATGAGGCCAGTCTCCCCAAATGGAGAAGAAGACGCATCCGCCTTAGCGTGGTGCCTAGCAGATAGATGGGATGTTTATTGGGGGCCACAGGTCAGGGGTGCTTGGGTGGGGTGAACCCAGAGGGAGAATTCCTCCTGTTAAAAAGTCCCTTTCTTGTGGCACCCCCCCACCACCACCGCTCTTTAGCATTGTCAGGATTCAGGGAGACACTCGGTGCAGCCCTCCCACACCTTGGGCCAAATGCACACAGCGATATTGTTCTAGCATCTAGGGAACAGACGGGTCGGGTGAGAAGGGTGGAGGGGGGGTCTGAGCGAGCATGAGCAGGCATAGCGAAGGATGCAGTAGAATTAGTGGAGTGGTGAAGATGGCCTCAGGGCTGGGCTAGTCATGGGACGGGATGTATGGGTGGTGGGGGTACGAGTGTTCAAATAGAGGCTGATGTGTGTGTTAAAGGTACACAAAGGTGGCTCCTGTGGGTCTTTATGTTTCAGGCAGACAAGAGTTGTGTCACATGATTGTGTTCATGGTGTGTCTAAAAGTTTCTAATCTATCTGTTGGGCTTCGTGGTTTGTTTGGGTTTGCTGTCTGCTTTCTTGAAGTAGAAGTGAACTTCTTTGAGTGTTGGTTCTGTGGTGCTGAGCTTACGTTTAAGGCCATCTTGAGTCAGTTAATGCACCTGTAAATAACCAGCTTTTTAGCAGCATATAACTGATAAAAAAAAAAAAATCAACTTTGACATAGATAAAAAGTATTCATCTTGCCCAGCTTCTTGCATCTCGGTTTCTGTATTTTTTATTTTTTATTAGTCCAAATTTTCTATCTTTGTTGCTTAAAGACTTGGCCACGTCTCCATTGGCAGAGGTAGATTTGGTCCCAGCATTCTCTCTCAGTTTCCAGCATCTGCTGCACAGGGTTCATCTCCTGCTTTCTGTAAGCTCTCAGCTCATACGTGGCACATCTGGAGAAGGGATGCTGGCGCTGATGCTGAAGCAACTTATCCAGCACCAGGATAGTTACAGAGGCTGTAGGACATTACAGTAGCTTAAGGTGTAAAAAAAAAAAAAAAAAAAAGATTATTTTTTCCCCTGCTGCTTCAGAATTTCGATGAGAGGTAAAACCTGTTCATAGCAGATTTAATGCAGTCTCTAATTTCTCTTTAAGAGCTAGAATTACAAATGAAATATTTTATCTTTATCCAGCCATCCTAGTGTTTCGGGAGCAGAGGCAAATGATTTTTGTAGTTAAAATGATGGTTCCATTTTGATCTAAGCATAGACAACAGGGGAAGGGTTTAATAGATTTCATTTATTCTGTATGGAGCATTTAATATTGGCATTCAGTATTGCTTTAAACATCCGCTTCTATTTTTATCCATCCCTGAGGTTTTTACCCTGCATGTGATTCAACACAAATAATACTTTTATAGTAATTGTTTGGATTAAAGTCATCTTGAAAATAATAAATCTTAGCACCCAGCTTTGCAGGCCTTCATTTGAAAATGCTGAATGTATCAGGTTTCTATATGTCTGCTAACATTTCCATATTCAGCCTTTTTTGTGTGAGGATGGGTATTTTAGACTCAATATTTTCACAAAGGTTTGTGGTTTTATGTATCTTCTCGCCCAATAAAAATGCGTTTCCCCCCATCTCTCTTATGTTCATTGTTTCTATCCTACTTCTTCCCATTTGTGTTTCTTTACCCGTGTGGCAGTGGCAGTCCGTCTCCCACCGGCGTGACATAAGTATTACAGATTTGTCGGCGAATACATTTTAAAAAGGCTTCTGTATCTCTACTACCTCAAGATAACTTTTTAAATACACCCTGTATTGTAAATGCTTAACTTTTACTCCTCTTACCACAGTAATAACTTCTTCACCGAAGAGTTGTCTTTGCTTTTATCCGATAGCCTTCGGATATGGTGCTTTTACTGATCCGATTTTTGAGCCAGTTCTATTAACCAGCCGATCTCTCAGTTCACCATGCATATATATTCAACTGTAGTACTCGACAGGATGACTGCATCCCTCCAGAGGCTTTGATGTGTAGATCATGGAATAATTTTTCATCCTCCCTGTTCAACCTCTCAGACTCGCCCACATGCACCAGGGCTCCTTTTTTGCATTTGTCAGTAGGAGCTGCAGTGTAATAAGAGAGTTGAGTGCCAAGCCTTTTTACAAAGGCCCACAGTGAGTGAACAATAAGCCTCGGGGAGAGCACAAGCCATTGTGAATGCTAAAATGGGGTGACCCAACAACTCCTTCTCTATCACGCTGGCTTTCTGTCCCCCTATGCTTCAATCGTTCTTCTCTGCCTGTTATCAAAAAGCTCAGGTTTTCGCCTCTCTGAATCACTGCCCTTTAGCGCGTGTCGGTTATCTGCGCACCAACAGTTTCTCATTTCTCTCTCTTCGCCTACTACTTTCTTTTTAACTTTTTTTTTTTTAGAAATGTTAATCCCACAAACCTTTGCACATATATCTGTAGTCTCTAATAGTTTGTCTTTGCATTCTTTCTTTCATCCGCTCAGCCACCCAACCTCCACTCACATCATCCTTCCCTCATCCTGACTCTCATTTTATTCTATCCCATCTCTGCATCTCTCCCCCCCCCCTCCAGCTGTGGCAGAGGCCGATAAGCTCCCCCCCCCTCCCCTCCATACAGCCCTCTGTGCCCAGGCTGCCCTGGACAAGAGCTGCAGTGTGGATGGAGTGTGGGTGGTGGGTAGGTGGGGGCTGGGTGGGGACCTCTGAGAAATGGATTTAATCTGAATTACGAGGGCCCAAAACCCCAGCTGTGTGTACGTGTGGGCAGCTTGATTTTTTTTTGTTTTTTTTTTCCCTGTGCGTGTGCATGCAAGCAATGGTTGTGGGTGGGGACAAAAATGCAAGGCCAGAGCAATGTGAATTATTCTGGATTAGGACATCTGCTGTGCAATTCGAAAATGAGCCAGAGATCTATGTTTCGCTTGTGTGTATTATGTAGGAAAAACCAAAAAAAAAGGAAAACAAACAAACCCTCCCCCCATGTGTCCTTCTGTTTAAAAAAAGCTTTCTATTGTTGTAAAAGCACTTAAGGATTCACTACAACCCAACCTTTGTGGGTTATAATGATGCGGTGTATTTAGGAAGCATATCATGCTGGCTATTTACCCCAGCGCCACTCATCTACCCATTAATCCTGCTGTATGAATGCCAGGATGAGTTTGATGTGTTACAGGTTAGGTCTTTACCAGCTTTTCTCCCATGTTTCTGTTTTAAAACAGTTGTTAGACCTCCTCCTAAATGAATCATATCAGGCCTTATCAATTCTTCTTAACTCAACCTGGAAAAAAAGCTTTTCAGGAGTCAAACGTCTATTGAAAAGTATCCAAGAAAGCCGATCTTTGTTATCACTTTAACCCCGATCTCTGATTTCAATCGCAAAATCAAGCAAGTTTGAACATGTTCACTGCCTTTTTTTGGGAAAGGTTTTAAAATATTTATTTAAGCATAAATACCTGAAAGACATGAAGGAAAAAAAATACAAGTTAAACTGTTAGATAACTTCTTAATGAAGGCATGTATTTTCTTCTTTTTTTTTTTTTTTTTATCTTGTGCTCTGAGGTTAAAGTTTGTTTGAGGAAACGATTTGATTATACGGCTGTTTACGGCCAAGCCTTAAAGTAATGTCTTTCGTTGCCTCATTCCTACCTGCCCCCCTCTTAACTGTAGCCTGTTGAACCTGTTTCACCTCTTTAAGGCAGGTGCAGTGGTGTCGGATAGGGAGCCAAGGGGATGTGTGTGCATATTTCCAGTGTATGTAAACAGACTGATAAAACCTGTTTCTGTCTCTATATTTCTGCAAGATGTTAATTCGGGTTTAATAATACTGTTGAATATGATGCATACTGAGATGACGAGATAAAATTATAAAAAAAAATGTTGGGTGAATATGAATTAATCCTCCCTATTTTTTTATGTTAATTCTAGATGTCTCTGCTGTCTTTAAATGTATATTATGGAACGCTGTGAGTGGCTGTTTCAGGTGTATTTTTGTTGTTAAATTGTAGTTTTAGTTTTCTTTGATATTTTGTAAAAAAAAAAAAAAAAAAAAAAAACTGTTGCTTTTTAAACAAAATTACTCCACTAATGTTTTCCTTTCTTCCCCCTCTCTGCTATAAGGAGACTGTGAGACCATCCGACAACACCAGCCCCTCCACTAACTGCTCAGAGGACGACTATCGCAACAAGCCCAACGAAAACTCCTACTGTTACCAGCTTCTGCAAGAGTTGGACAAACAGCGTAAAAGTGGCATCCTCTGTGATGTCAACATAGTCGTCTCAGGCCAGGTGTTCCGCGCACACAAGAACATCCTGGTGGCGGGCAGCCGCTACTTCAAAACTCTCTACTGTCTGACCAAGAGCGAGGCGCAGGACCAAGCCACTGTCACACACCTTGACATTGCTGCCGTGCAGGGCTTCTCCGTCATCCTCGACTTTCTCTACTCGGGAAATTTGCTGCTCACAAGCCAAAATGCCATTGAGGTGATGACTGTTGCGAGTTACCTCCAGATGACGGAGGTTGTTCAGTCGTGCAGGGCTTTTATAAAGGATGCCCTGAATATTAGCATTAAGCAAGAGGCTCCTGATTCGGTGGTGGTGGACTACAACAAGAGGCAAACGGTGGCCAAAGATGGACAGAAAGGGCTGGACCGCAAACCATCCAACTTTTGGGCCACGAGTATCCTTTCAAAGCTATCAATCAAGGCGAGCAGCAACCAGGGCAAGGATGCAATTGATGAAGATGATGTGAACAGTAGGGTGAAGGAGGAGACCAGCGACGTGGAGGTGACGGCGGCTGGGGGCGAGGGCTGTGCCCTTGTGACCCCTGGGGCCTCCGGGAACTGGACCCACCACAACGACACCTCATCTGATTCTGCAGAGACCAACGACATCCGGGCGACGAGTAACCAGACGCAGGTCTTCGTCTGGAACGAGCCGGTCGCGGGGGGCACCGCGGCAGCACCCACCGGGATGAAGCGAGAGGCGACGGATGCTGCCGCGGGAAGTGGGCGGAGGAAAAAACAGACCACCACAAGGCGATTCGTCTACAACTTCCAGCCAGAGCCTGAAGAGGGATTCGATGAGGGGATGTTCATCCAGCCACCGGCCTCCTATCCCAGAGAGGACTTCTCCTCACTCTCAGAAAATGCTGGTAAGGATGAACATTCTTGTTTTGTGTGAACTCTGATCAACACATAACATGAGTGGGGCATTTCTGTTTCACACAGTATGAACCGTACGCCATTAAGCCATAATATTGTGATTACGCGTCTAATAACGAGTAGGTCAAAGTTTACACTGAGCCGTATGACTCCACTGGGTCACTGGGTGGTGTCTGGCATCAAGTTGTTCTCAGAACGAGAAATCCTTCAAGTTAGAATCTGAGAAATAAAACAAAGTTTTAACAAAATTCGAAGAAATATAAAAGCATCTTTGCTATAAATGGTATTTTAATTCTTCCTTCATCTTTCAATTCCACTTAAAAACTTGAGTTATTCTACCTATACAGCTGCTGTGGTTATGGGTCCAGTCAATGTCAGACAAAACATTGATGCTCATATTTCTTTCCATTTTTTGGCTCAGAAAATAAAGTATTCTCCAAAAAGTGAGTTAAAAATCTTGCATCTGCTTTATCAGGTCAAACTCCAACTTTCAAGATTTGTTTAAACGAAGAATAAAACACACATTGGTAAATATTTCACTCCTAAACACTCAGGATTTTATAAAATATTGGAAACAATATTGACATTAGGATCTGGGTGGTATAGAATAAAAAAAAATTAAGGAACGGTAGTTTTGCAGCTTAAAGCTCCTTAAACTACACAGCTTTATGCTCTTAGTATTCAGACATCTTTTCGTATCAATAAACAGCTTAAATGTTATCATCGAACGGCGCAGCTCTGATTGTGTATCAGTGGGCCTTGGCCTACAGCGCCCTGTTATTGGTTCACCAGTTGTTACCTTGGACTGCAGTAGGTGGATCTTTTTACTGTAGCCTGGAAACATTAAAATCACTTGCATATTTATTATATATACCTGTGAGGATGTATATATTTTGCATAGGTTTGGATTGGTCATATTTATACATCTGATCTGTGAATGAGGAGCTCTGGAAAGAGACAGCAGGAAAGGCAGGGTGTTTATTTTAATGTCCTTTGCATGTTTAAGTAGCCTCCACTACATAAGCTTCCAGTACCTAAAGATTAACAATGGCCGAGGTCACAGAAGGGTCAGAGAAGTATGTCATGCAGACTAACATTTGAGATTTGTGCCGTTTTGTGTATCTTTTTTTTTTTGTGCAGATTATACAAGAATTTCAAAAATGTTGTTAAAGGAATGAAGGGTTATAAAAGAGTCAACACATTTAGGGTATTCTCACTAAAACTGCAGGAAATTAGCCATAAAAGTCCATGTTGGGGTGCTCTACTCCTACTCTATAACACTGTGCTTCTCAAGTGTTGTGACTGATTCTGCAAAGGTGGTCAGGAATCATAATAGAACTGGTTCATGTGTCTGGCAGTGCTAACTGCCTGTTAACCTGCAGGATACCTTCCCTGTCCCATCTACTTTCTGCTATTAATGGACTTTTTTTTTTCTCCAATTATTACTTTATCTTAGCTGGATTTTATTAAATGTAACCCTGATTGTGTGATGTAATGCTGGTATGGTTCATTTTGCAGTTGCGTTGTAGTTTGGGGGAGATTTTATTGATTTGCATGACGCTGTATGTATTTTGAACGTCTGCTGAGGTTTATTTTGGTTTATTTGCCCCTCTGTATAAAATATGTTATTTAAAAGCCATGTTTTTAGTGTTTAGGCCTTTTTTTTTTGCTGATAAGATATTCTTTTTGTCATTGTACACTTATCCTTCCTTCCTATATCACTTTATCTTTATATTGGTCTGCTCATTATATCCCGCATGTACATTCAGTGCCTTTGGTAATCTCCTTGCTCAAACCGCCTCCTTCGGCCTGTCCCATTTAGCCTGTAATAATATCGCATATTAAGTGAAGTGGTATGGACAGAGGGAGGAGATGTGTGCGGCACAAAGGGTGTGTAGAAATGGAGAACTGCTTTCAGTGTGTTTGAGAGCAAAGGCCTCCCTGATGTAGGATAATGAAGGAAGCAGGGGAAACTGTTGCTCCCCCAGGCCTTCCTAAATGCACTTGAATGCTCTTAGTGCCTCCAACTCTTCCTCTGGCTCTAGTAATGCGTGTGCATGAAGAGGTCCAGTGTGTTGTATTGGTCCTACTGGAAGAGTGGGAAAGTCTTTTTTTTTAGGTTTGATAAGGTCCAAGTCATCTTTTCTTCACAAACTGTAGGTGCTAAGCTCGGTTAACTTATTTTTGTTGTTGTTGATCATTCCCCCCCCCCCAATTAAAAATTCAGACGTATAGGCTGGTAGTCAAATAAACGCCACTTGGGTTAAAATAGTGTTTGTTCCTTTATAGCATATCAATGATATTGAAAAGCTGAAAAACTCACAAGTTCATAGAGATGTGTTCCCCTAGATGGGTTTGGAAGTGATTTGTTATTGCCTTAAAAGTTCAAAAGGAGAATTGTGCAAAATTTTTTGGTTTAAATTGAAGTTGAGATTTTTTTTTTAAAGGTGCTGGAGTAAAATGATGTGTTGGTAAGGAGTTTATAGAAATGTTTTCTAAGCTGAACAGTGTCAGTTTTAGTGTAGAGACGGTCGCCTGATAGGATAAGCTGCAACACGTCGGTCGGCTCCAAGTCGCCTAGCGGGAGTAAACTTTTTAGGAACCAGCTACTCATATGAGAAACCCTGCTGAAAACTGTATACTTCTTTACATTACATCTCTTACATCTGGGGATATTATCCTCATAGGAACACTGTTAGGAATATTTTCCAAATTCACAAGATAACATCTTCCCATCACAGGGAACAGATCTACTACAGCTTTTAAACCTATTTGGAACGACACGACAAACAGTGCAAACTAGCTTTAAAAAAAGGGTGAATTTCCTTCCCCTTTTTCTTCATGTGGCACGTTTGCTTCAGACTAACCCTGCTTCAGTGTGTGCTGGTGGTTCTTGGATGCTGATAAATATGTTCCAGCTGCAGAATGCTGTTTACTAGTTTAGTTTAATCAGGCATAATATCTAATATAACCAATATTTCAGACAACAGCAGAAACAGAAATAGTTTTTTAGGATTAATAAATGAAGTGGGGAGATTTTTTGTGTGTGGTTAGATTTGGTTTTTCAGTGTTTGCCTCAACTACTTTGACTTCTAGGCACTGTTTTCTATCCTTCTACCATGTGGTCTCATTATGAAGCAGGGTTATGTTTTCCAATAGTGTAGCATTTAATTTTAAATATAAACTTGTTACCTCTTCACCACAACCGCTGACAGTAAAAATCACCCATATTCTGCTAACCCCTGCGAGTGCTGAAAAAAGAAAGCATTAATGATGCTCTTAGTAAAAATAATGTTTTCTCTTGTAAGCATCAAAAGCAGTTTGAATTTACTTGTGCACTTTGATTCAAATTATCTTTTTTTATTACATTTTTTTTTATCAAAGACTATAAAAACAACCTTCCTAGTGGAGATTATATGTGACCTGTCTGTAGCTCTGTCTTATAGGTCCCTTTTATCTCCCTTTAGTACGAAACAATTCATTTAGAATCATTTCTAAGTGGTCCTTAGGGTCTTCTTGGCAAGACAGGCTGTCAGGTTCTCTTGGAGAAGATAAATTTTACTTAGAGCAGAGCATCACCATTATTCGCTTTACGGGGATTTTTTAAAAACCGTATTAAGTTTGGACAAGATGTTGATGCCTAATCACATTAATGTGCGTGTGGTAATTCACACTTTCCCAGCATGCAAAGGGTAAATAAACTCCTGTCTGGTCTCATAAACTGTTACATGCCCTTGGTGATAAAAAGCCTAAGCTCAGTATAACTGAAGCCACTTTCCTGCTGTGGAGGACTTGTAACCCACTTAATGTTATTTTTCAACCCAATTGTCTTGTTCCATTTTCAGACATGACGTTACTTCAGAGTTCACAGTTTGTGACAGCATTTCTCTCTCTCTCCCTTTTGTTTTCAGTTGCTTAAAGGATTCATGACAGTGACATCACTGTGAGGAGGTCTAGCATCTTTTTAAATGTTAGACAGATTTTAGTCCTTTTAGCTGATGGGGAAGATTTTTCACTGAAAAGTGCCTTTTTGTTTTGCTGTATTTGCATAAGTTTAACGTCTCTGTTGCATGTTTCCGTCTGTGCCTGTGATCTCATGCTTTTGGCTTTCATTTAGCTCCAGTTTGATTTGCGCTGCTCCGTTTTCATGACTACAAGGCCTGAAAACCTTGGCGATGAAGTGTAGCTAGCAATCGATTGTATTTTGCATCTTCAGCTCTAGGGGCTTGCATCCTTAATCTGGTTATGGTGATTAGAGACCTGCAGGATTGAGAACGTCTGACATCTTTATTGATATCTTGGTGACATCAGGATATTTGTTATTCTGATGAAATCTTGTTTTTGAAGCTTTATTCTTCAACCCTACCCAAAAAAGGCAGACAATTGCTAACTAAAAACATTGTTTTAATAGACAAGTGCAGCTAAAAATGGTTTACGGGATTAAAATGTTTTTACTGTCGCTGCGCTGAGCCCACCACCAACACTTAGAACTGGGGAGTTCCTATGACTGCTCCCAACAGGACTGTTGGATTGTTTAAAGGATCGTATCTGCCCAGGCACCTAGAGCAGGTGGGCATTTGCATGAGCACCGGCCTCTAAAGTGCACACACCCATACACAATAACCCCCCACCCCCCCAGTCCCAGAGAGGTGCAAAGCTGCCAGGGGCAGTCCCTTCATTCTCTAATCCACTCTAATGCACTAGGGCTGTCCTCACTATTCCAAATATTGACCTAGGGAGCAGGAACACACGCACACACTCTCTCATAGGGGTGTGTCTTTAATGGGCTCTAAGAGCCGATGCTTTACGAAGGGTATACTCACAGATCTACAGGTGCTTACAAAAGCAGAGTGTAAGATGAGCCGGTGTGAAGGCTCTACCCTGTCATTCTCTAATTAACCCCCACCCTGCAAGAAACCTCGTTAGCTTGTTGCTGTCTTGGGAACCGCCGCTTTACATACAGTAGGCTTTATGAGTTTCTGTTTGCCTGTTTTGTTCTCTGGAACCTCCTTTGTGTCGAGCGGGGGTGGTTGGCTGCTGTGTACACAGAACATCATGAGGTGTGCATCCCCCACAGGCTCTCACCCACCTCTCATCTCTCTTTCTCCCTCCCTCCCCCCTTGTCCCCCTCCTTCCCTTTTTCCCAGAGCTGGCCAATCAGATCCAGTATAGCATCATGCAAGACTTACAGCAAGGGGAGTCCTGGGAGAATGGTAAGGTGCCAATCTCTAGAGTACAGCTTAATCTGCGAGCAAAGCTCGATTAGTAAATCCTGAAAGATTTTTGTTTAACAGATTTGATTCTCACTTTTACATCCATCTCCTTTAAACCATTAAGTCCTGTCGTAGTTAAACTGGTTTTAAAGGCGTTAATCTTAAGAAAATATCCCTCAGCTAAAAACACGGCATTATCTCAGGGGGAACATTTCCTCCAGTGCTTTGTTAGTTGACACAGCAGAGCAAACATGAACAATGAACCATGGGCCTCCTTCTGCCTCATGGTGTTCAAATAATCATACAAAGCACAGGTAAGAACCAAAATTGTCTCCGTTGTCCATGTTTTTAGAAAGTGCTTGGTGTAAAACAACCTCAAAAAGCATCAGCATTGTTTGCTAAGACAACTTTCTATTCACCTTGAAATTCAGAACCTACATCCAGACATGACATGATGTCACCCCGACTAACCGGTGCTGCAACCGAAAGGCAGAAACCGTTTGTTCATGTCGTGTGACAATGGTTCCTGTTCATCGTCTTTTCTCATCTCTTCAACATTTACAGTAAATGTGTGCTGATGGGTCTGAGATTTAATAAACTGTTAATGTTTTTGAAATCTTTGATGCTTTAGGGCAGAAGTCACGGATTATTGGACCGTGATCCGGACCCACCTGCTGGCTAATCTGGACCCAACCTGATTTGAAACATTTATAAATTACCGCATGTCCAACGACGGTGTCTAACATCACTTGCGCCGCTTCTCCTGTTAATATGGTAAAGCCGTCCGGAGCGCATGTGACCAGGCTGCACGTGACACAAATTAGCCAATGAGCTTTGTCAGTCTGGGTCACTGCGGCGAGCAACTTTTAGACACAACAGGCAAATCTGTGGCAAGCCAGGCAATGGGAAAGAAGGAGAATATGATGAGGAAAAGGAAAAGTAAGTGTGGACATCTGGAAGAACTGTGGTGAACTGGTGAAAGAAAAGTGAAATGGCGCGCTCAAAGATTATCCTGCACATTTTGAGTATGTTTAGCTCAACCTTCTGCTGTGAAGCTGGATTCCCAACCATGAACATAATCAAAAAGAAATATTCATCCAGTCGATATCTAGTCGATAATTTTTCTGATTAATAATCGGATAGCAACAGGTTTCGGAAAGTAGACTTTTACAAAATTAAACTAGGTAAAACTAGAACTTTTCCACTTTAGTTCAGGATTATTCATTGTTCATATTGACAATTTTTTTTTAATCTAAAATGCAAAAGGTTTACATTTTTTATTTTTTATTTTTATTTTTTTTACAATCTTGGTATAATTTCTGCACTAAGGGGGTTGCTCTGTCAGCTAAAGGCATGTTTTAGAGTCTCTATACTCCAGTTAACCATTAAGTGATTACTAAATTAGTCGATGGTTATTTCAATAATCGATTAATGGAATGAATTCACTGGAAAAAGGATCTAGAAATAAGTAAAAATTCTTTAAATTAAGTGTATTTAGCTTTAATTTCAGTAGGTAAATGAGATAGTTTGCCAATGGAATTAGTATTTTTACTCTTAAAATAAGATAATTAGATAATATGCACTTGAAATAAGACAATGCAATTGTGTTTTCCTATTTTAAGTGTAAATTGTCCATTGGCAAAACGTCTCTCTTACCTCTTCAATCCAAAAACAATTACAGTTATTTTAAGAAAAAAATTACTTACCTAGATTTAGATTTTTTTCCAGTGTTGTTTCAGCCCTATTATTGATATTAAGTTGTTATCCAATCCTAGTTGCACATTAAATTAAATCTCAAAAGACTGATTTGGATGCAGTTTCTTTTTAACAATGTAATTTCTGCAGGACAATTATTCAATTTGCTAGTTTAATAGACTTTATAAACAAATGGCTTATATGAATGTTAGTGAATGGGATGCTGAAGATCACAGAGAGCTGATATTTAGGGTTAAAATTATGGGGGAAAAACATATTTAATATCACCATCATCACGGTATTCAACAAGAGTGGATGCTCACACTTAGTTTACCTTTATAATAGAAAAAAAGTTAGAGACCTCCTTGGTGCAAATCTGTGATTCCTTTAAACCGGAGCTGTACATCACATTGCATTACAGTCATTCCTGCAGTGATCAGTGTGTGCAGTGCAGCTATAGCGAAGGACTGCGTGGATTAAATGCTCTTAATGCCCACAGCTGATGTATATTTTTAGTGACTGTCATGTTAGAGGTTAGAGACCAGTGGGAGCCTTGTGTAAGCATTTATAAAACGAATGGGAAAATGTGGGTTGATTATTTATTATTTAAATTCTAATCAATACCACTATAGCTACAAAAAAAATGAGAAATTATGCAAATATTAATATTTTAAAGGTCTTAACTGTCACTTTTTCATCAAAACTATTAAGTTTCTCTAAAACAAAAATTCAAAAATGATGCAGCAACAGATCATCTAGAGGGTCTACTAAAAATGAGTAGCATATCAATACTTAAATTTTGACATGATTATGATTGCAATGTCACCACTAAAGGATTCTGCATCAATAGGAATACTAGGTTGAAGTCATGTCAGACGTAGCGCTGAGTTTCATCTTGGTGTTAATTTTTTTTTTTACATTCAAGCTACAAAAAATATAACAAAGTAGAACCAGGTCAATGTAGCCCAGCTAACCAAAGACTAGCATCTATGTTAGCAGACCTGCCAGCAAGCTGGCAAACTGTGCCCAATGAGGGCGGGCGAGAACATCACTTACTTGCTCGTAGTTTATCTAGAAGCGATCACCTCTTAAGGTGATGTCCTATGTAACATTAGACTCTTACCACAAGGTGGCAGTAATGCAGAGCGTTTTAGCCAATCAGGATCAGGTTTCAGCGCTGAACAACTTTTTTTTTTTTATTGGGATCGTTTTTCTTTTTTTCTTCTTTTTTATTAATCACAAACCATTTTTTAGTTTAAGTTTTATATTGTAAGATGTTGGCAATTCACAACATTTACTCGATAAATAATGTGACTAAAATTGTAAAAACAAGAAAAGGGTTGGGACATGTTTTATTTATATAGTAAGCAATAAACATGTATAACAGAGATGGAGGGAAAATGTGTTGGGTGTCCTAAACAGTGCTGTAGTAATTTAATTTGGTTGCACTGGTAAATTATTACTTCAGTGAGAGGAATTTGTGTTATATATTAAAAAGCCAAATTACACTCTGCCAAAAGCACAAATTTCTTTTTTGTTGCTTTTTCTTATGTTGTGTTTCTGGGAGTATTGACACCCACACAAGAACAATAACCTAACCCTTGTCAGAGCGTGTCTGATACAGTACCAGCCTTGCTTGATATGTCCTTTTCCATTTTTTTAAGCACCTACACATAATATGTGTGGAGATTCATTTGTTTATCTTGGATCAAACATGTCATGGAAAAGCTTTAATAGGAATTGTGAAGATTCCTTTAATTATCATGAATCCCATTTCAGAAAAAAAAACTTCTTATAAAATCAAGGAACTCCCTCCATCTGTTAACAAGCATTGATATCAACCTTTTTCTGATCACTTATTAGCTTGATGCATGCGATAACGTAGCGAAGATAAAGCGGTTCTCTTCAAATGAAGAGCTTTAGCACCTCTTTTTAGCAGCTCCTTTTCAGCTGCGTTTCAAACCGACACACACAGGAGGAATACACAGGTGACCTGCTTCTCATCAACCATCCCCCCTCCTCGCCCCTTGGCAGGCTACCTTAACAACGCCTCTGTTTTGCTCTCTCTGGCCTAAACAAAGGGATCTGCCCTGTTACCCCCTCTCTCCCAACATGGAGACTATCACGAAAGCATTTTCAGGATCAATACAGTCCTCACTGACACGTCCCTGCAGGCTTGCTGCACATTATCTGGTTGCCTATAAAGCATGCACATTTCTCATGTTTACATTTTTATAACTTTCTTTTTGTTACAAAAAAACCCCAAAAAACCCTCATAAATTTGATGACGGAATGTCAAAATCGGAACATGAAACAAAAAGGTGTGCTTTCACATAGCATGCTTCCTCATTAGCATTAGGCGGTGGTGACTCTTTGGGTGCAGGGCACCCGTAACATAGCAACAAGAACACAGAAGGATTTATTGATTTAATTTGTGTCTTAGCAGTTTTTCAGCCGTCCATAGCTCGGACCAAATGATGTTTAATGTATGTTTTCAGTTTGTGGTTTGGTTTTGCAGTAATGGTCACCGCATTTCTACTCTCCGCTGATTAGATAAACAGGATATCAGTTCCTGATGCACCCCTCTCTCATTAGGACTACAAACTTAAAATGTAGCTTTTATGATAATAGTCCTGTTCTCTTTGTTATTGGGTTGAACAAACCTCCTGATAGTTTAAATTAAAGCATCATTTTGGAATATGCAGTCGGACTCTGGTTGATCTTCTTCTGTTTGTCTCCCTTTAGGCGAGGCCTCACACCTAGCCCTCAATAAGCTCAAGTGCCCGCACTGTAACTACATCGCCAAGCACCGCCGCACACTCAAGAGGCACCTGATCATCCACTCAGGTGTGCGCTCCTTCAGCTGCGACATCTGTGGCAAGCTGTTCACCCGCCGGGAGCACGTAAAGAGACATTCCCTGGTGAGTCTGCATACGCACACAGACACAGTCCTTTTTTTTTTTAACCAGCACTTGACGCGCGCCCTCCACGCTGCCAAACTCCACAGATTTTTGGCCCCTCTCACTTCATTCCACACCACCTTGTGTTCTGCGTCTGGCAGCTTTCCTCGAGGGAGTGAGCGCACAAGCAGTCTTATTCGACGGTTATCAGTTCTCCTCTAAACAGGGAGTAATGCAGGGTCACTCACAAAGTGGTACAAAAATGGATCGGTGCTCTTAAGCCAGAAAATAAAACTGACAGAAAAATATTAGATAATTTTTAAGACAGAACCCTTACTTCTGCTGAATTGAAATTAAACAATTGTAGCATTAGTAATGCCTGCTGCACCTCCTTGGAAACATGGAGCTTATTTCCTAGTCACATTTAAAGATTGAAAACCTATCAGGATTGGGAAATATTTCTTATAAATTCTCTTTTCCTTACCGTAGGTTGATATTAAACGCTGTCTTCTTACCAACTGAAGCCTTTATTTTGACTGAGTCTGGATGTTATGTATACAAATGCAGTGTCTATTTCTGTTTTACAACTCAAAGTTAACCAGTTTTCCAAGCTTGGATTTGTACAGAATGCCCTCATCAATGGCGTCTGCTGCAGACAAGGGTAGAAATAAGGCCGTCGATGATGTAATCTATGGGATTGAAAATATGCCAAACAGACGAACAAAAGGAGCAAACCTGGGATGCGTTTCACGAAGCAGGTTTAACAAACTCTGATTCAAATCTGCAACTCTGAATTGATCTAGCCTAATGTAGAGAACTCAGTGTTCGGTTTCACAACAGCTGCTATCAATTAGTTCAATCAATCTTAACTTGAACCACTCAGAGTTAAGCGCATGCGTAACAAGAATGAAAAGCCATTATCAATAGGCAACAGGAAGTGCCTATTTCACCTCGCTGGAACTAGAGAGTTTAATGCAGAAATGCAAAAAAATAAAATAAATGAGAATGTGTTTAGAAGAAAGAAACGGCGTTACAGCTGCAAAGAAGAAGATTGCTGCTCGAGTTAATGAGTAAGTTTATTTGAAGGGGACTATGGCAGGCCGTTTTTACATTTATTAAAAGCACTTTCCTCTCTGTTGTTCCATTTGTAGATCACTAAAATAAGATTCTTCTTGATAAAAATCACGCTCCAAACTGTAATAATATATTTTTGATAAATTAAATTTTTGTAGCAAAAACTTAATTTTAGAAAGTAAAAAAAAAAATTATACTGTTAAGAATTAAGTTTTATATATCTTTAAATGTTTACACATTTATGATATCTGAAATAAATTTTTTCATAGTCAAAATAATACAAATGCAGACTAGTAATATTAGGAATATGGAGATCTGAAATAAATTTTTTCA